CGGGAGGTAGTCCACTTCCCGGGAGCCTGTCCCGATCGGGCACGGTGGGTCTCGATACGCGATGACGCGCCCCAACGCCGATGTGAGACGCGCCCGAAGGGCACGCACTCCGTCGCTGGCGTCGCGGCGTGACCCTGCAAGAGATGAATAAGTATACGCGAGCATGGCGACGCGCACGGACGCGGAAGCACTCACCCGGGCATGCACTGGTGCGGGCCGTGGCTCTCGCTCTCGCCTGTGGGTGCCAAGGCATCCGTAGCCGAGAGTGGATGGGTGCGAGCGGGCGGGCGGGCGAGGGCGAGGGCGCGGGCGGGGCGGGGCGTGTGCGTGCCGAGATGGGGACCTGTACTAAGCGACTCCGCTGGCGCATAAATACGTGGCCCACATCTCGGGGCGAAGACATCGACCCCCTCCTCCTTCCGCCCGTCCAGCTCCCTCGCCGTGCCTGTCGACCCCGGGTCTCCCTTCGTCCGGGCTGTCGTCGCTGGCGCTCGCCTGGAGGACGACTCGAACCGCGGTGAGCTCGACTGTGGCCCCCTGAGCACGTACTGACATGTTCCAACGGTAGCAGAATCAGCACGTAGTCGAGACAAGCTCGCACCGGGTCGGTTTCGTACGAATCACGAATCCCACGGCTGATTCCTCCCATGCTCCAGACGCGCCGCACCGAAGGTCGAGGTCGGGAGCCTTGGCGGCTCGGCTCGTATCCACCAAGGCTCACTTCTAATTGCGAGCTATTGCATGGTGAGATTGCCTCCGTCTGTCTCACACGAAGAGTGCGGCGCTGACGTACCTGTTTGTCTTGCTCCTCGATGCGCCCCACGCGAACAGCCGGCCCCATCGTCGAGCTCGCAAGTGTAGGTCGTGCTCGGCCAGCGGCGATCGTGCTGCAACGGGGTGAGTCGGTTTAGGTGTCGCTCCGAGAGCACCCCGCTGACGTACCGTTCCCTAGGCCGCTGACCGGGAGATCAAGGTGAGATGGGAATGGCTGCACGTGCAGGGTGGCGGGGCGGCGGGAGGGGTGGTCGCTTGTATGTAGTAGCGAGCAGCGTAGTAGTTCGCCCTGAGCGTGCGGCGGACGCGGGCGTGTCAACGGGCACGGAGGTGAGTTTGCGGAGCACCTTCTCACGGCGTAACCCCGCCTGGCGTGCCCGCCATCGTCTTCCAGCACGGCATGTCCTGCGCAGCGCGGGGCGACCGCTGGTCCACCGCGCCGCTGCAACTGTAAACCCGTGGCCGTCACTTCGGTACGTGTTAGGTGCGTCACCGGAGGTACGTACCTCGTCGCTGTCCTGTACACAGCGCGCTTCTGATGCCCCTTCGCGTCCAGCACGGCGCTGCGATGATGGGTCGAGTTAGGCCGATCGAGGTCCGCTGGAGGTGCCCCAACACCGACGTGGCAGGTGAGTTCCTCGATTTGCGCCGACAACCTCCTTAAATGACCTATTTCCAGACCTTCCGGGCGCATCGCAGAGGCCCTGGGGCGGGAGGAGCGGGTCGACGCCGGCAGGAGCCTAGACGGCAGGAGAGCGCCCGTAGCATGTGGCTGGTCGTGCATGGATGTGTGCGCGATGCCGAGGTCTGAAGCTCTTTGTAAGAATGAACTGATGGGAGTCGCGGGCGTGCGCGGTCGTCGGCGCGACGCGGGGAGCCTGCAGAGCGGCAATGAGCACCCCTCCGCCATCCGCCATCCGCCTCCCGCGACTTCGGCCCGCTTGGCGCACTCCTCCGCGACGCTGTTCGTGGCGGCGATGCTCGCGAGCGCACCTGCCAAGCGGCATGGCCGCAGAGCGCGGCACGGTCGCGGTACGCGTGTCTTCGAGTTCGTGTTCCGGGCGCGCAGGCCGGTCGACGCCGACCCGATTTTTTTCCCTTTTTCTCCTCGTATCGCGCCGTAACTCGCAGGACGTGTGGAAACTGGCCCACAGACCCTGCCGTGCATCGTTCAGGAGCCCACGGTACGCCGTTCGCGCTCCCGGAGTCGATCTTGGGTCGCCGGAATTAGGCGCCGGCGCCATTCGACGACGGTGCACCACGATGCGGCCGGGATGCAGGCCGTGCGCGCCTCGTAAGCAGCGGAGATGGTGCAGGGCATTTCTGTGGGTGCACCCGCCGAGCGGCGCGACTCCCGGGGGCGGGACGGCAGCGCTACGCGCGTTTTTGCGATTTCGGTCGTGCCCGAGCCCATGAAATCGGGCGGGACGACCGACGGTCGACGTCCTCTGATCGCACCCAAACGCGGAGGGCACATGCCCGCCGGTGCATACGCTCTAGCGCTGAATTCGCAGGGGCCGGGGACGCGGGGTCGGCGCCCAGCGTCGACGTCATTCCCGGGAGTCCAGAGTAGGCGCGCCGCGACGCCCCGACGCAACGTCCCCGGGCATGCCTCCGAGCGGCGGGGACGACGTCCTGGGGGCAGCAGAGCGTGCCTGCGCGGCGGCACGGCTGTGGGGCACGGGACGGGCGCGCGACGCGCGATTCACTCGCTTCGCACCCGATCGACACATGAAATCGGTCGAAACGACCCATATATTATCTTCTCGGACGGCCTCACAAATGGCCGGGCGGGTGCGCCCTGGTGTATAGACCCCACCGTTCGAGTTTAGGAGGCCCATGGCGCGGCGTGCGTGCGCGAGGCCGTCGGCACCGCACGCGCCGTCTGAGAAAAGCGCGTGGTCAGCGCAGTTCGTGCGTGTGCGGGCTGGGCGCGCACATGTGATACCCCTCGGCGGCGGGCGTTCTGCGGTGTGCAGAGCGAGGCCGCGGCACATCGGCTGTGTGGGGCGGCGAGGTGGGTGTGTCGTCGCTGCACACGAAATCGGCCAAGGATGGGCTGATTTTGATGTCCTCCGTTCACGCCGACGCGTACTGGGTGTATGCGCTGTGGTGCATGGGAGCCGGACGCCACGTTGGCAGGGGTCCGGGGTCCGAGACGCGGCGTTTGAGCGCGAGCGCGGCGCTACGGCGTGGGTTACCGCGCAGCGTGCGCGGCGGGGGCTTCATCGCACGGCGTCGGCGTCAGTGCAGACCGTCGATCTGGTCCGGGGCATGCGCTGTGTGGACGCTGGGGCGGGGCGGGGCGGGGCGATGCGGCGTGCTGGAGACGCATTTCTGCGCGCGGGCGCCCTGTAATCACGAAGTGGTCAGTGCAGTTCTCGTCATCGCGCGTTGGAAATGCACGCACCGCGGGAGAGGAGCCGTCTGGAACTCGGCGTCCAGTGTCGAGACGTGCCGGCGTGTGGGACGCGGTGGGGAGGAGGGAGACGGTCCGTGCGATGGGAGAGGCATGGCGGGCGTAGTACGCGTGCGGCGTGTTCGCAAGTCGACAGCGCGCTTCAGCAGGTCCATATGTCAGTCCTCCTAAACATCCAGAGAGGGCGGCGGGGGTTCACGCGCAGGGTGAAGCACTCTCGAGGGCGCAGACTGGCGGCGACTATGGTTGCTACAGTTGGAGCAATGCGGCCCGGGCGGGACTGGGAACACACCTGGAGCAAGCGCAGGATGGTGTCGCCGGTCTCGATCTGATGAAGCGCACGCGAGACGATGGCGGAGGACGCGAGGACGGGTTGAGTGCGGAAGTGTAGATCGAGCGCCGCACACGAAGGAGTCGCGCTGCGTCTTTGCACTTGCAGCAGCAGCAGGGCAGGATGATGGAGAGCGTCGGCGGAGAAAAGAGGGGATGTGCGGCAGGTTCCCCGGGGGTCACGGTCGAAGGAGCGAAATGACCGACCTCGTCGGTGGCGCACCTGTTCGCGCTAAGAATGGATGCGCGAGCAAGCGGGCGAGAATGCGTGCAAGTCTGCCGGATAGCTCGGACCAAGGGGACGGAGGGCGAGCGGGGACGGAGGGCGAGCGGGGACAGAGGAAGGGCGGGGACAGAGGAAGGGCGGGGACAGAGGAAGGGAGAGCGCGGAGCAGAGCACGGGCAAAGACCTCTTCGAAAGAGCGCGACAGATGGCAGAGGAGGGCGGTCTGGAGATCGGGGCGGGATCTGGGGAACGACGGGCGAGTGCATGCCAAACGAGCTGCAGCCCGCGCCAGAAGTCGTCGTGAGCAGCTTTCGACGCGCGGGAAGCGAGCAGGGGCCGGACGACGTGTGCGGGCGGCGGTCGTAGGCCCGGGA